TGGTAATTTACTAATAATTTGTCTAACTTTTTCACTTCTTGCTAGTCCAGCTAGTGCTCGACAAGCCAATGCTCGTATACTATCGGCATCTGTTATTGGTGTTTTCACCATCATTAGTTGAAGTAAAACCTAATTTTTTAAAAATGTATAAAATTAACAATTTTACATTTGGCAATAATATAAAATATATTTTATCTGAAAACACAGATGTGTGTGTTATTCATTATGAACTTACCATTATACCATTATTAGATCTTACACTTTCCCAGATTTTTTGTATAAGTTCTTCACTATTTTGAATATTAGCTTTCTTTTTAGTTGAACCAGTTACAGAATACCTAGCTACATTTCCACCAACCTTAAAACAATACATATAATACATTAAAAATGAAAAAATATAGAACTAATAAATATAAATTAAATGTGTAGACTTTTCCACAAATGTTGTTAAATTATTTACCCTGTTTATAGGTGCACAGACACAATTAACCACGGCTCTAAGAGCTGCTCTTTGTACATCCGCATCTGCAATTATCTCACACTCTGCAGCAGCTAAAAGAAGATTAATTGCCATTGTCATTGACATATCTGGCATATCAACTCTTTCACAAAGTAATAGCATTACTTTAGGAACTACTGAACAGATTGCAATTACATCCAAACAAGACCGAACTGTTTCTGCACTTGAAGTTGAATGAACTCTAAAGAAAGAATAATTCATTAATAGTAAGCAAATGTTTATTAACGAAATATTTATTTATAAAATATTAACACTTACCGTCCACTATAGTTCCACTCCCGAGCAAATGCTATGATTTGTAATAAAAGTGTAATGCCTCCTAAACGATGGAGTTCTTCTACTGGTGGCCATACAGATCTTATTGACATTAACTCTTGCAACACTTCCAATTTTGCTTGCACTTCTTCACTAGTTAGTTTACAAGCCTAAAGGAATTAATATTTAAAAATTAGTTCAATAAAGAATATAAGAATTATATTACAATTTTATGCAAGAGTGAATTAATATTTGTAAATTTTATACATGTATATATAAGAATATACTTATAAGAATATATATATACTTAATATATCACCTTATAAGGAGGTAAAGATGGTTGCCAAGTATCTCGTTCTGTTCTTACATTTTCCACTCTTTGCAATTGTTCAGCTTTTAAATGTAAATGTGCTTCCATGTACCGCTTTAATGCAACAGCTACGTGCCTAACAATTTGACGTGATGCACATTCTTCATCATCATTTAAAGATATATCTTCTTCAACATTCAAAATAGGTAAAGTTGATATCTATAATACAAATCTTGTTTTAGCATAGAAAATATTTATATGATTATAAAAAATAAAATGATATAATAAAAACTTACTACATTAAATAATTTCCTCAGACCATCTTGCGCATCAAATTCTTCAAGTATAACTTTGAATGGAAAAGAAAAACCAAAAAACATTGTTGCATGACAGCGACCTGAATCATGACTTCTTTCTAACAGCCAAAGTGCATATGTGACCAGGTCAGAAATAATGTGTTTTGGTAGTAAACAAACTCTTTCCATCGCATCTTCACAATATGCTAAATAATAAAGACATATTGATACACCTGTTGCAGCAACACTTGGTCTTGGGACATCTAATAATTTTTGCAATCCTTTAACATTTAAAAATTCAATTGAAAATTTTTTATGGCACAATAATGATGCCAAATATTTTAATGCTTCGAATGCAAGTCGGCTGTCTTTTGTCTCACGAACATTTATATATTTCAATATTAAATCAAGTGCATTTTGTTCAAAAACATGGCCTAAGAATTCTTGATATTCACCCATTGGTGTAAGATATCTTAAAACGAGCATTTGACGTGTAGCTAAGGTTGGTGGATGCATTTGAATATTACCAATAACATAAGATTCCATTTCTGCCCAAGATGAATTAGAATTACCTTCTAATAACATAGGAGGTGGATTAACTACCTGTGATGAATTTGTAGGTTTTTGAAAAGAAGATTTAAAGGACTTCATATTTGTTGAACGTGTACTTTGTTGACCAGTTTGTTTGTTTAATGGTGTTATTGGTGATAAATTTGAACAATTACTAGTTGGTTTAGAAATACTTGGTGGAGGAGACATATCTAAATATGGAATATTCCCATGTTTCAGAATTTCTTCTCCCAAATCGTTTTTCAATTTTTTAGCAGGTGGAATTTCACTAGATTCAAGAAGCTGTTCACTTTCTTCATCAGAAAAATTTATATCTTGCGATGAATTTTTCAGGATTCCATTTTCTTTTTTTTCGCGAACTTTTCGTTTTCCAGGAACCCCTTTATTTTCGGAATCACTCTTATCACTTGTATTTTTAGCAAAATGTGCAAATGGGCGTGCACTCAATGCTAGCTGCCTATCTGTTTGAGCTTTCTCTTGTAACTTATGTAATCGTTGTAACATTAATGGTACCATTTTACCATTTAGATCTCTAAATCCAGTAGCAATATCTTGCACCTCCATTGCAGCAGCTAAAAGACCAGTTGCATAACTTTGCAATGGTTCTATACTCTTTTCTGCCCAAGAAAATAATCTGTGTATAAGGCCCTCCATATCCGGTTGAAATACTGCTGAAGTTTCTAATCCTGGCAGTATATCTAGCATTAGACGACAAGCAGCAACATTCAATTTCCGAACATCTCGGCCCGTAATACCAATACGTGACCAATAAGTATCTCTTAGATAGTCATTTATTAGCTATCATTTATTAGCATTAAAAAAATAAATAATACATTAATATAGTATTGAATAAGTTATTAAAGAATAATTTTGGAAAATATATTCAGTTAAAAATTAGATAATATTATAAATTTTTAAATTATAGTATTTATAACTCTACACATATAGCACGTGTCTTATTTACCTTTGTCATAAAATTATCTTTCCTAAAAAGAACTTTAAGAATGTGTCCAAAATTACACTCTGGATCAGTACGTGATGGGTGTCTTTCATCAAAAGGATCTGGATCCATTTTTAGGTAATTTTCTGTTTCAAGCTCTATAATCTCAGCTAACTTCTGAAGCGTTGGAATAGGATCATATGAAGGTGATGTATGTTCTTCTTCCCATTGTCGTAAAATTTGTACAACATCCGTTACTTCAGCGACAGATTCTGCATTTGCCATTTTTGAATCTATATGTAAAAATATCTGATATAATAAATAGTTTTATAATTATCATTAATATATCTTAATTAGATACTTTAAGTTTTATTTTAAACATATATATGTAATATATTAGTAATAATAAAATAAAATATAAATTTCAATAATATAAAAATATCGAGTAAATTATTATATTCTGAAATATTAATTATGATTATTGCAATTAATAATAAGTTATTACCGCAGATCAAAATAACCTGATGACAAACTTCGTACACGTTAGGAACACACAATTAATATAATATATAAAATAGACGTTATTATAGGAAATAAATTAATTGATATCTAAAAATAAAATACCGATTTTAAAATTAAAAAGTTTAAGCAGTTATCAACAACAAAAAGAAGCCGTATGTACAAATATATAGCGCATGCCTTTTATAGGTTATAATCCATTACCAAGTGTCTTCCATTCGACTGTATTGTGTCGACACTCCGCGGTGTATATTAGAACTAGTGTCTTTCAATTTAATAAGTTTACCATTTCAATGGGACTTAGTAATTCTAATATTTTCATTATGGCAGCACTTGTCTAGAAATTATTTGATTAAAAATGTTTTTAAAATATTGCAAATTTTATTAATTTATCCAACTTTTTGATAATGAATGCTTATAATTTACAATAATTTAAACATTTTACGTTTAGAAAATTTCTGTCCTATTTGTTGTTTCAATTATATAACGAACTTCATTGGTTGAATATTGTTATAAGATAAAACCTGAAAACTTAAATATGAATTTATTAAAATACCAAAGAACAAAACAATTCAGTTTCAAGTAATATAAAATAAATACAGAAAGTATTTTTACTTAACTTAACCAATTATATTTGACTACTATATGCAGAAGTATATTATACTACTATATAGGAACTATATAGAGTTATTAGTTTATAACTTTTGACTAATGAGACAGATTGATATGAAAAAAAATTATATAATAAAGTTTAATTTATGTAATATAATTCTTTAACAAAAATATTATATTAACAACCAAATAAATACGATAATTACATTTGAAAATATGACAATGTCACATTTCAGTAATTTCTGATCAAGAGATTTGGCAGCACTGCGGAATTAGCGCTTCATTCAAATCTGTGTTCAAACATAAATTACGTATTTTAAATCTTAAAATAAATCGCTAGAAATCCAGCATAACAAGAATTTATTTGTTTAATATAACTAAATAAATAGATCAAAATTACTTGAATAAATGTAACTAATTAAATATGGCTTACACTATTATATAGTAAAACTTATAATTTAACTAACATTTTTGATAGACATTACGTACAAACTGTACAAAATATTTATTTTTACAAGATAACAGGAAAACTTTTATTTTTTATACATACGTATTTATAACGATGAGTCAAACTTCTTTGGTAATTTTGATGATTATTTGCACATTAATCTTCTAATTGTATTTCAACAATAATTTAATGTGATGACCTAATTAACAATGATAATCATATATCTAAATTGAATCCAACTTTCTAATAAAGAGATTTTTTCTGTGTTTACGAAAATGTCATCAATATATATATATATATATATATATATATTATTATTATTGCGCACTTAGAATATAAGTCAACAATAGCTGACAATTTCATGTATCTTTATTTGTATTATCTTATGTATTATTTGGATATTTTCTAGCTTATATTAAATTTATTATATGGGAATAAATAGTATATAGGCATAAACATCAATGTCAAAATAATATGTATTTGATCATTAAGAATAATATATTTATCATAGAATAACAAACACTGTAAACTTTATTTTATGAATTTCTAAGTTATTGAGGGCCATATTTAGAAATATATTTCATATGAAAAATTGCTTACTGAGATATAATGATAGTAACAAAATTATAAATCTAGTATAAACATGTTAAATGACATCATACATACTATTCTAAATATGGCCATACACTTTTTATTATACTTATTGTATATGTGCATTAAATTAAAATTATATTGCGTAAGAAATAAAAATTAAACTTCACCATTCAAGAGTTTCTTATCAAATAAGAACTCTCCAAGGGGACCATTATTTACCATCATTCTACCTAATGTGGAGATTTTTCCAGCAAGATCACGTTCACCTTTATATTGTTCATCCAAAAATTCTCCAGAGAGATAGTCAACCAACTATAATAATATAATAATTAAAGAATAATTTTCAATATAATTGACAATTCGATTGTTCTACATAAATATATTATTTTATTATATATTCAAACATTTGTTAGAAATTATACTTACATGATAATCATTAACATTTACGTCGGATGGATTTTCACAAGCTAAAATGATGCTTTTAATGCTACGTGTGACATTGGATTCTAGGGTAAGAGCTTGGTTAAGTGCATCCAATCCTGTAGCCCATTCTTCTTGCATTGGACTCTAAAAATTCATTTCAATTAAAAAATAATAAACTATCAAATTTAAGTGTAAACAGTTCTTTTAAATAAATTTATATAGTGTACCATCTTTATCAATGGGAATTCCAGAATATCGTTAATACCATTTACAAGTTGGCCACGCATTAACAAATATTCTATAATTTTGATTGCATGTTCTCTTTCTTCGCTTGCATTTTCAAAGAAAAATTTACTAAATCCAGGACGATTTTGAGAATCACGTGCGAAATGTGCAGCCTAAAAAATATAATAAGGTAAATTATATCTATTTACCTTAACACTAGATATACCATACCAGTCATTTTGACTGGTCGAGCCATTTTAATTCAAAATTTTTACTTCATGTAACATTTGAGTTCTGTAAATAATTAAGCGTTTTGTTAAACATTTTTTGTTATTTTTTAAGAGTAAATAAAGACTGGAAGCCTTAACAAGGATTTTTTTATACACCAGTCATTTTGACTAGTGTAGTAGAAATAGGTATATTGAAAATGGTGGTATATCTAGTGTTAAAGTAATGAACAAAAATATTTATAATTTTATCATTTCTTCTTCTGAAATTTTCAATAAATCCAATACCATTGCGAGATAGGTCAAAGAAGCTTCAACTTCCATTTTTATTTGAGCTGTCAAACTTTTGATGCATGCACTGTCCATGTCGATCCATTTTTTTGTTATATTTGCTGAACCAATTGTACCTGAAATTAAATATTTATCAAAATTTATATTACTTCGAATCCTTCTAAGAATTTAAAAATATATTAAATATATTTTTTTGATTGATAAAATTATAGATGAGCATATCTCTTGTCAATAAAAAAAAATTCTATATCTATGATAACGAGTTTCCAAACTATAACAAAATAATCTTTCCATCACACAGTTCAAATGGCATGCTCTATTTATTTTACATTTCAAATAAGATATATAAGTTATTTTATAACAGTATAAAAAATAATGTTAAATTTATTGAAGCGAATATATATTTCTATTATAATTATTTAAATTGAACAAGTGCATGAATCAAAAAGTTATGAAATAAAATATGAATATAAATTTAATCCAACCAATTGGATAAAATCAATAATTAAAAAAATACTTTATTAACTTTGATAAATTAATAATTGTTATATTAGTATGTCTTGTGTTAATTTATGCAAATTAAAACTCATACTGTCATTGTACAAAATTAAAAATAAATCTAAAGCTTAATGATATGAAGTTGAATAGCATATGCATATTAACAACTATGCAATATTATCTTTTTAAATGTATCATGTTGCACTAGATGAACACAATGAAAAAGATTTAAAAAGAAGAAATGGACTTTGAAACGTGGATTAATCAACGCATGTTCATCGTCACGCACTTCTTATCAAACAAAGTACTGATGTTGTACAAACAAGATGATCTATAATATTGGCAGCTTTTCTAAATATATTACAAGGATAGATGTTGGCGTCATAAATTAACTCTCTTAACTTAAATATTGTTATTTCATTATAAAGTATTATCACGACATTCAAGAATGATATATTTATTGTATTTTATTACAATGTAAATATAATTATATTTATTAACAAATAAGTAATTGCAAAAAGATTACTAACAAAAAATTACAAAATATATATATAAGATATACACAGAACTAAAATTTGAATAAAAGTTCAATACAATGAGCAAAATGAATCGAATAGATGAAATTTTATATTTATTATTTTCATTTGTGCACATTTTATAAATTTTATTTTTTTTGTAATTTGCCATAATAGCTTTAAAATCACGTTCTATAGATAAATGATAAAAGTGAGTGCTCATATCAAGAAAGAGATTGAAAGATAAAGGTAATATAAATGATAAAACTTAATGATATATTATTTTCTCTAAATTATAGGTACAAATACAACGTTATTATAATTTTAATAAACATTCTATTAAATATTAAATATGAATATATAACTACTATTCTACATTAAATCTCATAACTCAGCAAATATTTTTTAACTAACACTGTGTATTATTAATGTCGTTTAATCGAATAAAAATACTTCTGTGATAGCAGTTTTATTTAGTATAAACAATGACAGTTCAAAGAACATCTCGAGACCCAGATAAATAAATTATGATGAATTTTTTCCAACTATCTTTCAAGGAAAATAGTTCATTAGATCGTAACCATTTTATCACATAACAGTCTTGTTATAAATAGATATTGAAATTTTTAATTATTAATTTATGCACATTAAGAATATATTAATGTTATATTATTATTACATTTTATATTCTCTAATATAAACAATATATTATAATTAAGATTGTTTATATATACAGCACAGTGTATAAATTAAGAAAAATAGAACATTAAGTAGTTTCAAATTAATGCGTATAATTTAAAAATAATCTCTCATAATATAATTAACTGCCAACACTAAATCAAGTAAACTACGTCGAAAATTTATATCCTCTTGTTTACTGACAATCATATTGTAGATATTGAGTTCAAATGAATAAAAATTCCCCAAACATTATTATGATTGTTATTAGTCATCAAAATATTATTACATGACAAGCAATTGTTTCATTTTCAAATTAATAAAGTACACAATGTAAAATATCAGTTACAATATAAGAAATACTTACGCTGATTTAAATTAGAGTTAATGCAAGAATAATAATAAGTAAACTTGTATAGTATTGATAAAAAAAAAAAAGGAATGTGGAATAGATAATTAAATGTAAGAAAAAAAAGACAGAGGGAAACAGAAATAGAAAGATAGAAAGAGAGAGAGAGAAAGTGAAGTAAATGAACTAAAGAAAAATAAAGAGTCGTTAAATCTTGTAAATAAAAAAAAAAACTTACATTTGAATTCACTTTTAGTGGAACCAAGGGTGCAAATTAATGCAAAAAGGAGAACACAAAGAAGCTTCATCATCTTTTTCTCTCACTGTAAGGTTATAGTGCGTAAATTGAAAGAAGGGGGACTGTTGCTGATCTCTTTCGGAAACAACCTTTATACACACTGGTATAGAAGGCTGTATTCGATCAATTTAAGAATACAAAATGTTTATGAACTAAACACGACAAGCAACCATTGATCATCTAATAATCAGTACGTAAATGTGTAACATTCACAACTCTCAAGTAATACAAAGCACACCGGAATTACTGGAAATTGTACTTTTCTTGTTAATATTGAGCAATTGCGCATGCGCAACTACGTATCAGCTGACTCTATTTCCTCATGAATACCCTTACCATATTCCACATCCTCCTACTTTGAGTCCAATGTTCACTTAGGTTAATCTGTAATTCATTATTGTTGAGAGAACATCGAAGCGAGAGTATTCACGTTCTAACCAACAGTACATCAACATCACTCAAAGAAATATTTGATAAGGTATCATACATTTTTTTTTATGATACTGATAGAAAGATAAGTATTTTCTCGTTATTTCCTTTCTGTTCGATTTGATTTTTATAATGATGGCGGGTAAAATCGATTCGTCATTGATCCAAATTTCTATGTAAATAACATTTATATTACTGCGTAATTTGTATACGGTAACGCAATACTAAAATATATGAGTAATTGGTTAGAATAGCAACAATAATTTGACAACGTGTATTACAATTTACCAATCCAATTTTACTTGATTCACTTTTATAAAAGTACGTTCTTGCGTCATGACATTGCTTTGTTTAGAATGTTACAGTTCATTGCCGGATAATATTGCTCTGATATTCAAATTATTTCCAAATACTTTGGCTGTAATTGAAAAAATTAAAATATATCTTATTGTTTATACTCGTTGGTTTAGTATCAATTTAGAACATATATATTGTTGAAAGTTTGTTATATTATGTAGAATTATAATATATAAATAATATGCATGATTGTTCTTGATTCTAAACCGTTATATTTTTTTTTCTTTAGCAAACATGTTTCGACTAGGATTATTGTGTGCCTTCTTAATCGCTGTCTCAGCGGAGGATATGGATTCTTGTTATGATAAATCCAAAAAAGCTTGTAATTCTTTAGATTTTGTAGATAGTAAGTTACATTTTTTCAAAAAACAAATGTAATAAAAAGTTGAATTATCATATTGTGTCTTTAATCACTAATATTATTAATGATTATATTTTTAGAGAAAGCATTGTTCACAAATTGTAATGCTGTATATGGAAATATCATGGATTTTCAAGCTGACCTACAGGCATACGTAAATGCTCATATTGAATCCAGTTTTGAATTTTTGTTAATGTCAACTCATTTTGGAAATTATGAAGCAAATCGAGATGGTTTTAAGACATTATATCGTAAACTGTCAGACAAAACATGGGAAGATGCTTTTGATTTAATTAAATTTATTGCCAAAAGAGGTGGTAAAATGAATTTCAATCAACTACCAAGAATTAAGGGAAGTACACAAATTAAAAGTAAAAAGATACTTCAGTTAAATGAAATTCACAGTTTATCTAAAGCACTTGATATTGAGAAACAACTTGCTGAAGAAGCTTTATATATTCATTCAAGAGCACAACAACACTCTAAGCAAGATGCTTCTGTAGCTCATTATTTAGAAGAACAATTCTTGGAACCTCAATCTGATGTTGTGCGTCAGTTAGCTGGACATATAACTGATCTTAAAAAATTATTAACAGATCACGATGCTTCTCTTTCTGTATTCATGTTTGATGAATATCTTAAAAAACTTATGTAAATTTTCATCAATCAACAAATTTTATAAATCATAAATAATGCACTTATCAATATTAGTGCCTCTCCCTAATTCAATCTTTATTTCTTTATGATTTGTGTTATATATAATTAGGAATAATAAATATAAAAAAAGTTTTTTCTTTAAGAAATATGAAATATCACTTATATACATAAATACATATGAATATATATATATATAGAGAGAATAAATAAAAAGTTTTGTTTATCTTGTTTATATATCTCTGTGTAATCTTACTTTTAAAGTATTCAATAAAAACGTTAGTTTTAAGACAAATGGTAAACAATCTATATTTGTTGCAGATGGTTTTTTTTTTTTATTTCACAATTCATCATATGTACTACACAAAAATACTTGTTACTATCCATCTTTTTTTATTGTATTTTTTATTGATTTGCGCATGAGTAATATAGTTATTTTTATCAGACTATACTTACACAAAAATTTCTCTTTATATAATATAATGTTTTTAATATATAAATATAAGGGGCAATGTAATGTAGATCATTAATAAGAAAAAATACACATTGAAAGTATTGCGGAAATATTATTTGAATATATATTTTTTTATATATCTACGGATATGTGAGTATATTATCAAAATAAATGCAATAGTATTATTTGTAATAATGAAATTAGAGAGAAATTATTAATAAAATTTATGGTAGTAACAAGATACTAAAAATTATTTATTGCGCAAAGATATGTATCACTTCTTTTATTAAAGTTAATTTTATTCTTTTAATTAGTAAATGCTATATTTCATAGAATTATATTTTTATCCACTGATTATAAAATTAATTAATAAATCAATACTATAAAATATTATTTCTGATATCAATAAAAAAATCAAGTTAAATATTCTATTAAGAACATCTTAAGTAAGATATTAATTAAATTTCATTATTTAAATGAAATCAGTAAATAATAAAATTTATTTTTATCACTCTCATTATTTAAAAAAATGTTATTGTTCGTGGTCTTATTTAACCACAATGTACACACAGAGCCACTCATCAAATATATGTACATGTGAAACACTATCAAATATTGTAGACAATGTATTAGGTCTACTCAACTTTTTCTTTCGGTTCACGATGTTGCCTAAAAAATATATAATATAATGAAATTAAATGTTAAATCAATAATTAAAAATAATTAAAACATAAAAAGAGATAACTATTTACATTTACAGAAAAATTTGTAATTCGAATGTGTACTAAAAGTGCAGCAAGTTCTAAATCTTCACTATAGTTGTTTTTTAATGTAACACTTCTATATCCTGTTCTTAAACAACGGACCTAAAATATAATTAATAAAACAAATTAATTTTTTTAAAATAATAAGGCTAAATGTTTTTAATATAAATAAATAAGTGTATATAATATCAATAAATACATACAGGATAAGTAGCTTGCCCTATGAAATTACTATCACCAAACATATCTTCATCTTGTACTACAAATCTTATGAGAGCAAAATATGGATTGAATATTTCAAATTCACAAGATTCATTCCACATGGGGTTAAAACCATTGTCGTCTGAAGAAATTAAATACTCAGATGTTAAAACAGAAATGTTAATATAATTAGAAAATATAAATAATTATTAATTTTTTTGTTTATACTAATACGTACGTATCGTTTTTGTTGTTATCTTTGTTCCATTATCAAAATCTGCACCAATTACTTCTACTTCAACAAATGGACTAGCTGTTCCTCTTCCAGACCTAATCAAGTGTCTTGCACCTATAATTTTTAAGCTAATTTTAAGTGCATCTATACCATACAAGCAATTTTTGTCATAAGGATTAAAATCATCTCTGAACATAAAATCTGGTTTGAGAACATAGCCACAGCTACCATTTTCTTTAAATTTAGCTTGATTTAATTGCATAGATTTATCTCCAGTTTGATAATTTAGGGCTACCATTTGACAACCAGAATTCCACATTGGCACAGGATTGTAATTAGATGAATCAATACGTTGTCCTTTAGGATAAACTCTACTAAATTGCACCTACGATTCATAATATTTGTTAACATAAAATTACTTTTATAATAAGAAAAAGTTTATACTTTATTAACTTATTATTACCTGATGATATTTTAAGAAAAACTTATTTTCTTGCTGGCACATGATTTTTTCTGCTTTAGTTTCAGGAAAACTACTCATTTCATGAAATATAAATCCCTTTGCTCTAATTCGTTCAACATTAAAAGCAACCGACCTACAATATACTATAAGATTAGACATTTCTTTTGCTATCTTCCATTCTCGTTCCATCTTTTTATGTTGATTTTCCTATAAAAATGGAAGACAGTAGTATAAAAAAATTACGAAAATTTAGAGATATTGATTAAAATCAAGTTTGAATAAACATAAATGGTTTTATTACTCTAACACTGGCGTTTTGTGCTGTTTCTTTGATACTTGACATCCATTCTAGTGCACTCTCTTTTGACGATGTTGCTACTTCAAATACAGAACACATACTAGGATTTTGTATTCTTAAAATCCATTCCAATCCAGGTCTTTCGCCTGATGTTAATTCAACAACAGCACCCATAATGTCTAATGAACCTTTTTGAAGACTACCAAGCATCATAGAATCTGTAGACTGAAATTGATATTATAATTATAAAATTGTATTGTGTATTGAATAATTATATTACTTACATCTCCTTGACTATCTTGATAATCTATTTCTTCAACATAATTTGCTGGAAACCAATGTTGCTTTTTACCACCATAATCGCCTCTCCACCATCCACCACTTTGTCGTGTTACATTAGTAATTATAGCATGTTTTACCAATGTCAATTCATCTTCTCTTCTTGCTTTATAATCATAAAGAGCTTTTACTGTTACCTATTTATGAAATATAGTATTTATATATATCATTATAATTATTGTGAAAATATATATAATCTTTAATAATAATTACCTTTATTATAAAATATAACTTACTTTAGATCCAAAACTTGTTGGGTCCATGTATCCAGGTATACCATAAACAGATCCATCATCTGCATCCTTTAAAAAAATGATTATTGTAATTTTTAATAACATTAATGTGCTAACTTGATTCTTTTAAAAATATCGTATTTAATAAAAATATGACCTCATCCATATCTTTGTTTACTTATAAACTTTGAATTTTTTGTAATTATACATACTAGCAAAAGTTTTTAGTCTGTCACATACCAAACCCACTCTTCTGATGATATCTTGATTGACAGGATGACTTAACTTTATTCTCTTATAGAGTGGATTCCTTTCATAGTAATTTACTAATTCAACTAAACTTTCAAATTGCACTGTTCCTATTGTATATAAACGTCCTTCAAATTTTATTCTACAATGTTTAATTTTTTTTTCAGCCCTATGAAATAAAATATAACAGATTTTTAATTATTTATTTACTTTATATATATATATATGTATATTCTGAAAAAATTATTATATTTGCGAACCTGAAAGATATAGCATAAGAATTACTTTCTTTTTCACTAGGTCTCACTAAAAATGCACCATCAGTGGGAATACGTTTTAACATTTCTTCTGCTAAAGTGCGAGTGCATTCTGCATGCCACCATTCTTTTTCCTCATGCTTATTTGGTTGAGGTACAGGTTCTTGAAGCGTAATTAAAAATTCCTGTATATTAAATAAATATGTATTATTATCTGTTTCAAAAGAAAACTATAAATAACTTACGTTACTTTATTTTGAGAGTGCAATTACCTGACTTCTAAGGGGATGATTGCGATAACGTGTTATTAGACTATACAAACTATCAAAGCAATTTGTATCAATTAAATAATATTGTGTTTGACCCATTTCTTGTTTTAATTTAATACGACAATGGTTAACCTTGCCTTTACGCCAAAAAGAAAGACTATAATCACCAACAAATGTAACGCATTGTCGAACTAAGAAGGTACCATCGCCAAGATGAGAATATCGTTGTAATAATTCTTCAGCTTCTTCTCTACCTCTTGCCAATTTTCCATGAAACCATTTTTCACCGAAATGTAGCTCATCATTTGGTACTCCCTTTAAAACAAATGTATTTTATTGATGGTTGAAATTTGTGATAGGTTTTTTAAATAACGAATTTATAAATGTAATAATATTAAAAATGTACGTACATCCGTTGGTCTTCGAACACACCCTTCATCATCATCATCATGTTCTGTCTCTTGAATTCTTGAAAATGTATCTGTGTAAAATAGCTTTTGTTGTGTTAATACAAAAAAATGTGGATTCCATTCTCTATCAACAGGATCTTCTAAGTATAATATTCCATTTTTTACAGTATTTCTAAGATCCATTTCTTGTCTACTTTCATCATTACGAATAAGAAATGATGCTTCGTCAGCTCCATCAGGAAGTTTTTTATGTTTTAATAATATTTTCTTTCTTAATGCATACGGAGATGGTAAACAAGTTTCATTTTTATCTACTGATTGGACTAATAACATATTTCCAAATAATTCTTGCATTGTAGTTGCCATTTTTCTTTGTTGTGGCAATGTACAATTATCTTCTATAGATAAAATAACAGGATATCTACAAAAAGAAATAAATAAGTATATCAGTTTATACAAGAGAACATATAAGCATGCAAATAGTATATGTATATCATATAAAATAGCTATATAATTTTTAAAAAATAAAGCATATATACTCAGATGTAGCAAAAGCATGTTCTTTTATAGTTTTAATAACATCTAGAAATTTTATTTTCGTTGTTAATGTATGTCCATGAAATATAAAAGGCATTCCATCAGGGCCATCCCAACAATCAAGTTCTATACATCTGCAGCCAGCTCTTAATGCACGTACATAAGCTTGGCAACTACTTTCACTGCTTATTTGATCACCCATCAAATATCTGAAATAATTTATTTTATATATTAACAATATTTAATAACGATTAGAAGTTTACAATGTTTATTATAATATTAAATGTAATAAAAAATATGTTATTATAATTATATACAACTTCTTACGTGTTGTGTGATGAGGCAATCCAGTAATGTGCTAAAGGCTTCGTCATATCTTGTGTTACCTCATTACATCGTGAATCCGAAATATCATTTTGTTTGGAAAAAAGGAAATCTATAAATTCAGAAAATGTGAAATATGGTTCTTGTATATCTCTTTGTGGATCTTGAAGATAGTCTCTAATAAAACGTGAAGCTTCTATATCATTGTTTCCTAAAGCATCTTGTTGTTCAGTGATTAAGAAGTTTTGAAATTCTTGAAGAGTAACAGTCTGTCCTGACTTAGAATAATTCAATAACTTATTCCAATCTGCTAGATTCTGTTAAAAAAATATAATTATACATTACTGTGTATTATCAATAACATGATACAACATTTACAATAATATTTTAAAATAAATATAACTTACATTCTGGTCAAACATAAGTTTATGATAGAGAATCACGAAGTCATCAAATCCAAGTTCATTCCTGTTTCTTGTATCTACTTCTTGAAATAATTCTCTTAGGCGATTAGTTGCAATTTTGCAATTAACTCTAGGTAAAAATGCTTTAACATCCTTTAATGTAACTCTGTCAAATCAAATTTACTATCAGTCTTTACGCGATCAAACTTAAATATTAGTTTAAATTATATTATCTAGGTATAAATGTTCTTACGTTTCTCTTGAATTTTCCATAGCATAAAATTCTTTCCTAAGCCACCTTTCAACTTGTAAAGGATATGGGGCATTAATTGTATCTTGCACTAAATGACGTAAACCTTTAACCCATAACTCACATTCTTTTTCGCTTAGAGCTAAAATACAAATTAATTATAAATAAATGAATCACACAAAAATCAACATAATTCTAATTTTATATTTACCTGATATTGAAAGAGTTTTTAATCTGAATTCAGATCCATAGAATACAACAAAACATCTCAAGCTTTCTATTCTCTTTGCATCTTCTGGCCATTTTTCAAAATCTTTGGAATGTTTGCCTACTCTAACTTCTTTTACTTCTCTGATTTCAACTAAAAAAAGATGATATATAAATATATATAAATTTGTATATTTTTTACCTAGATATTACAACTCCAATATATAATATTGTTTGAATATACTATCCAAATATTTATGCAGTATTATGATATTAATTGTTATTGTGCTATAGTACCTCTAGTTTTAATATTCTATCCTATATATCAACAGTAGTAATGGGCACAATTGTTGATAGACCAAAACTGAAGGAGAAGTTGCAATAATGGCAAGATAAAATAAGAATATGAATATAATTATTTATTTTGAAATCATTTGAGACTGGATTTAATATTTTATACCTACCACCTATATGAATTAAATAACAACTCTATCTTTTTATATAATTAATTATAAGTCAATAAAAAATTGAAATAATTTCAAATAGAACAGATACTAACATAAATAAAAAATATAAATATATACACCCATTTACAAAGTTCATGTATTTTTCTGGATGAGATCCAACAATTGATATGGATTTTATCTTTATCATAAACTCACCCATATACAAAATGGACACTGATTTTTCCTTCTGGTTTTTGGCCTATAACTAGTATCTTCAGATAATATTCTGCCCATTTTTGCTGTAGATATATAACTGCATAACCATGTATAAAGTGTGCCTAAAATATTACGTGGAAAATTTATTTTTTGTGTGCTTTTGAATGTGAATCTATAAGGAACAGTTTTTTTAATGTAAAACAACCCTTCATAGAAAGATATTTTATCTTTCCTATAATAAAATATAAGTATGTGATATTAATTGTAAACATTAACTAGAAACTTAAAACTTCTTACCAGAACCATCAAAAGGTCTAAAGGTAGAACTCCTCGACCAAACAATTTGTCTAGTTTCTCTTCGTATCATTAAGGTTTTTTTTTCTGGTCTCTTTCTTGAGAAAAATTTTGTTACCACAGTCCCACGTTCAAGCTGACTAATTATTTGTTCCATTTCAGGAATAATCCCATTCATTTTTGATGTTATAAACTGCTACTGTAATTATTGTTTTATATTCTTGTTTATTATTTGAATTTAATATAATATAAAATTTCTTATTATAATTTATTAAAAAATTAATTGACCAAAATTTCTTACAATTGAAGTTCTCTAACTTATAAATATATAAACATATCATAAATAATAGTAAGATTTAAGTTATTAAAGAAATAGCTCTGTATTGAATTTAAGAGTATATAGAACAAAAACATATGTCACACACACACACACACATTCATTTTGAATTATTTTTAAACACTTACGGTATCTGTATATTAAAGTATTATTCTTCTATTAAAAGTTGTATAGTAATTAAACATTTATTCATAATAATATTTATAGTATTTAAAATCTATAAGAAGTACCGTTTTTACGATTAAATGTTGAACTAATTTAGAAAACGTGTTCTGATTGATTGTCTATTCCATTCATAAAATATATCCAGTGATGTATACAAATATAATTGTGCCAGTGTATTTTGAAGTCTATAAAGATAAATTGTTTTTTCTTTTTTTGCTATTTAAATAATTTTTACGTAAAGAAATTCTAATTTATTAAGTATAAAAAAAACATTAAACAATTTATTTTTTATATAGTTCTTTTATCTATATATCTATATCTATATCTATATCTATATCTATATCTATATCTATATCTATATCTATATCTATATCTATATCTATATCTACATCTATATCTATATCTATATATATACATATCTTTTGAAGAACATACATATGTACGGTTAGCTTACAACATTGGTATAGTGTTTTCATTTCTAATTTCACTTCTATATAAAATAGATATTTCATTTAAAAATAATATATATTAAATTTTTGATAAAATTTAAAAAAATCTTAAAATATTATTAATTGTAACTTTATGTAGTTAAATTTGTGGCCATTAAATTTATTTTATTAATAATAAAAGAGAATATGACATAAACATAACCTAAACAAAAGACGAAAGCATTCTCAATTAAACAATAAAATATTGGATAAAAATTGAATGATTTATCATCTATTAAAAAGATCTATATAAAAATGCAATACATATATTTATATATTTTTATACATGTTTTTATATTATGTATGTAAATATATAATATATATATATATACATAAAAACATCGATTCTATATGGTATATAATTTCCTATAGAAATTATATCGTTTGAAAGCACTTATTGTTTTCTTATTTTCATTTGTTTAATTTTTCCTGCATTGTATTATAAATATTTAAAAATTAATCATACCTGTTCTTAATATGAAACGCCGCTGTTAATAACTCAAGTAAGACTATTTCATTCGCATGTGTAAGCATTGATCACTATATATATTTATATAAATTTGTAAACTTTCATAGCAACATACGTGACTATATACACATAACAAATAAAGTGGAAACACCCGAAATTTATATATTTTAATATTACAAAAGCATCATTTTGAAAGACTAAATACTTCGTAATTCGATTTTATAAATTTACTTTCTTAATGGTGTTCAAACTTTTCACTCAACCTCCCTAGAATAAACCAATGTGCATTCTATATAATATTCCGTGATGTGAAACACTAGGAATATCTACCATATTATTTTACGTTACAATTTTGTGTATGTATTTTGATTAATAATATTTCAATATTTCAATTATTACATTCGTCTATCAATAACTAAATAAAAATATTATCAATAACAATCATATAATCTGAAATCACTGTTGTAATATTATAGAAATATTGGAAATATTAAATTATTCCGTTTCATAATTTTTAATAATTTGATAAATCATCAAAATCATTCTGATATCAATAATTTAGACATTTTAATTTAGTTACGTACAATTTGAGATACCAAATTGATAAATTCGTGATACAAAATTGGCGGTTTTATATTCGATTTACCAATGAAAAGTATGAATTGCATTCAAATAAATATTAATAATTGGAGACAAAAAATAACAATATATAATTAAATATTTTTGAATGTTATATTTAACCAATTAATCGTTTAATGGTTTTCAAAAATATTCTAGGGAAAGTAATGAAAACAATGTTGAATTTTTTACTAGATTGAAAAATACCGTTGACAGCCATTTTCAAAATGTCCCCTACACGCAAATTGAGGACGAAAGATCGTTAAAAGGAAAACAAAATTTTGTGTTATATTGATCAATTACTGATCTATATATTTTGCATTTTTATGAATTCAAATGTAAATTAATTTGAAATTAAATAATTTATTAAAAGTTTAAGTGAACTAACAAAAGTTAAAACGTAAAAAATGATAAATTTGTGGTTTTATTGTTTGTATTTGGAGTTAGCTCGGTATACGATTAAATAGACTTTACTTTTTCTTATGTCTAAAAATGTACCGATATTTTCTGTGACACATTGTCAATACAAGAATATATATTTATTCTGAAATGAATTAAATCGGTTATATATTTATTATTTGATAAAATATATGATCTTACATTTTTCTGTATTGCTTTAATATCTAATATACAAATACATGACAATGCTTTTTGTAGAAAGATTAATGGAAATTGTTGTTTTGTAGAAACATGAAATAAACATTGGAAAATAACTTTTATAACCTATAAGTATCATTAGAAGATCTTGGTATGTAAATTATTAACTTGATAAGTATATAATTTTAATCTATTTAATATACATGTAATAAATATTTATACATATATAATTCAATTTTTATTTCAGTAGGAATAATGTCTACGAAAAAACAAAATGTAAAGATTTGTTGTTTCTGTGGTCTTGCAGAAGACAATGAATTTGAGTTTGGAAAATTTTATGAATATCGTGGTATTGTTACACATTATTATTGTTTGGTAAGTATTAATATTCAAGAGAAACACCATTTGCTTTTTAAGATTTTGGTTTAAATAAAAAGGGTTGTCTAATATTACTACAACTTTGTCAAAATGTGAAATAAGAGTGTACAAAGTTGTAGTAATGTCAGACAATCCTTTTTATTCGAAAAATAACTATAACAACAGCTAATTTTTGGGCTTTTAAATGGTGTTTCCCCTTTAAATAATTCTTATTTTTACTTATGATCTATTTTTGTATAAGCATCAATAAAAACAAATATTTTTTATCTTTCAGTTATTATCATCCAACATGGAACAAAAAGGTAGAGACAATGAAGGTATTTTAGGATTTCTATTAGGAGATATACAAAAAGAGTTGCGTAGAGGAAAAAGATTGGTAAGATAATGATACTACACTTATTACATTGTAATTTGTTTTATTTTGTGTTGTTCTTTCTTTTCCATATCAATTAAAGATTTATATTTACATTTTGAATTTATTTTTCAAGGTATGCTTTTACTGTAAAAAATCTGGTGCCACATTAGGTTGTTGTAATACAAAATGTAAACGAATATTCCATTTTCCTTGTGGCTTAAAAGCTGGAACTCTTCATCAATTTTTTGGTGAATTTAGGTAATGTTTTTAATGGAGTACGTTTAAATATAATTTCAGCCTTTTGCCTTAGTTCATATAAATTTATATATTTGTTATGATTTATATAGTAGATGAATATTCTTTGTATTAATTTAATATATCAATTTTTTATATGAAAATTTTAGGTCGTATTGTATAAATCATAGGCCCAAACAAAAATTTAGCGTTTATACAAAAGAATTAATTAAGGAAAAAATAGATGTAATATGTTATATTTGTTATGATAAGGTAAACATTAAGAATTTAATTGATGTATTATGGACACCTTGCTGTAAAAAAGATGCTTGGTTTCATAAAAAATGTGTTCAGGTAAATTAATCATTTACTTACTCTCGAAATTATTTAATATATAATAAAAGTTATCAACACATAGAAATATAATAATTAAAAATAAACATTTCATATTAATCATTTATTTCTTTTTAGCAACTTGCTTCTAATGCAGGTTATTTTTTTAAGTGTCCACTATGTAATAACAAAAAGGAATTCCAAAAAGCAATGCTAGAACAGGGTATTTTTATTCCAAGCCAGTAAGTTAAATTATCATAAATGAATGAATATATCTAGATGCTGCATATCTAAAAAAAATTATTGCTGAGATTCAATTTTAATTTAGAATAAATAATTATTTAATTTATTTATTAAATTTTCAATAATATTATATATTATTTTTATTTCATAGGGATGCATCTTGGGAGCTTGAACCAAATGCATTTCATGAACTTTTATACAGACACAACCGTTGTGATGCTGTGACATGTTTATGTCCAAAAGGCAGAAATCACACAAGCATAAATGCGTAAGTAGTTAATACAATTTAGGTGCAAAATTACACTTGCTACTATTGCTTTTATTTGAAATCATGTTATAATATTATATGTTAAAATGATATATGTTATTTTACTAGAAAATGGGAATTGGCATTATGTCGAACATGTGGTTCTCAAGGAATTCATATGGCATGTGGTCAACTAAAATGGGCCAAACCTATTTGGAATTGTGATGAATGCATATCTATATTAGGTGGTATTATTATTATTTTCCTTAGCCACAAATTCTCCTAAGAAATTCATTACAATATATTAATTTAATCTAACTTTTTATTTTACAGATAAAGTAAATCACTCGTCAAATAAAGTATCAGAAACTGTAAAGTATGTATTTTCATAATCATTATCAGATTGAAAGAATTTATAATAATATTTTCTATTTTGTTTTTTGATGTAATTAATAGTTTTTATAACTTATCTTTTTTAGTATTACTTATCATGGTACGGACACAGATGCCAGCGATTCAGAAATTTCTGTGTGTGAATCACAAAATAAGGATGATTTTTCTATAGTGTCATATTCACCTTCAAGTGCAACATCTCAAACTTTTGAACAAAATCCAACTAACATTTCAACAAAGTATGCACAAATTTATACACCTATATTTTTGCACGTTTATAACTGATTATAAAGACTAAAGACACTTTTTCCTTATGTATCTTAGGAATATATCTGAAAATAACTGTAGTAGTTCTAATCAAAATATGTTTACAATATCATCAGTAAATTCACCAGAGAAAAGTTCAAATATTACTTTAAACCGATCAGAAAATAAAAATATATCACTAATTGATCAAAATAAAACTATAATACAAACAAATCAAGAAAAAGGACAAACGGATTTAAAAGAAACTATTAACAGATTATTAACAGATGAAAAACGAAGTATATTAAACAAAAGTCAAGACAAAAACTTACAAAGTGAAGAAGAATCGATTTCTAGGGATAAAAAGGTTGACTTGATCATGATTGATAGTGATGAAGATGATATTGAAGTGAGTAATTGAATCAATGAATTAACTAGTTTTATTAAATTGTAGAAAACTAATTTACGATTTATTCATATTATATAGATTATAAGTAATTTAAAAAAGTCAGACATAAAAGGTCAAACTTTAATGAACATGGATCTTCCTAACTGTGATATAAATACAAAAAATAAAAATCCGGATCAATTAATAAATATTTCATGTAGTTCATCATATATACCTGAAACATATAATAATCAAATGAAAACAAACAGAAAAACTTCAGATAACTTAAACAAAAGAAAAGATTGTGAAATTGTAACTGTAAATAATGTAAAAGATAATATGTTTTCAGAAAATGAAAATCATGAAGACGTAGATAACTCACCTGTTATGAACATCAAAATTACTAATGTAACATCTTTATCACCTGAAGTTTTTGCGAGTGTACCTAGTCTGGAAAGATTGGATAATCATAAAGTATTACAATTAAATACTAAACCTTCAATGAGTTTAAATAATTTTGAAAATTTACAAACTGAAGATAGAAGACTATCATTTTCGAAATATCAATCTAATGAGACAAAAACAAGCTCAAAGAGAAAACATGAAACAAATATATGTGTAATTGGTACTCACACAAATGGAGTACAATCTGTGACCATAACTAACATAACACCTAAAAAAGTAAGAACAAGTTATTTAGAAGAAAATATGGAAGCTTCATGTAGTAGTACTACCTATAATGAAGTTAAGCAGCAAATTGCTAACCAGAATAATATAAAACCATCACAAAAATACGTTAACGATAGGAATTATCAATCGGATTTGGATATTTTTAATTTAAATAATTATAGAAAAAATAAAATTTCTTGTCCAAGCAGTACTACAGAGGTATTTACTCCAACGCTGGAATTATCAAATCACAATATAGCAGAAAGCCAAGTTAAAAGTGCTCCTTCATGGGCTTCTGATGCTAGTACTACTATTAATAAAGATGTAATTATTACTCGTATTCGAAATAATAGTACACATCAGTCGTCGAATACAAAACAAAATTTCACTAAAAGAAAAACGACATCATCTAAAAATTCGGATAGTTCTGAAATTAATAACGAAATACAATCTACCTTGAAACAGGTAGGTAATGTAATATACAATACCCTTATGTATATGATTTTAAAGAAAGTATTCATAATGATCTGGATGCGTAATTCTTTAATAATCATATAAATATGGAAAATTTAAATTAATAAGTAGTTATTAAATAATATTTTAAACATATTTGTGTTTGCATTTTTACCCGCACTAACCAAACAAAATATCATTTTATTGTAATTGTCTCTCATTTTATGTTAATATTATATTTGATAAATGCTAATATCGATAAATGTAATGGAAAATAGAAATATTATGGTGCGGGTAGTAAATTTTATCACATTGATTCCCTCATACCTCGTCTCCAGTGTATGTCTTGGGGTTCTAACAGTTTGACGGAGATGCAGGCACCAGTTTTACCAACGAGTCAACAGACGATTGTATCCAAAGAAATGACGACCGGATTAATCCAAAAAGAGCATCGATTAACAAAAGAAGTTTATTACAGTGTATTGACTCCAGAGAAAATGGCTGCAAGAAACAGTAAGTTATGACATGAAAAATGATTTATATAAATACGAAATTTATAATTTAATTAAGAATTATTGTTTTTATAGTCTCAACTTCAATTCGTTTTCCGAAATCGCAAGTAATCCTAACGCCTGTGATAAACCTAGATTGATACCAGAATCTGTACAATTACAAGATCTTAAATTTAAAGTTAAAGATTCTAATAGCGTACAGGTATATAATACAATGTAAATATACTTCTATAAAAGTTCTATGCACTAAACATTTCTTGTTTATTTCCATTAGATGATCTTATATGATACGTTTTCTGTAAATATCCATATGAATACTGCTATGAAGAATCACGTAAGGAATTCGGCCGCATCCGTAGGAGTATCGAACATGAGACGTTCATTATTGGAATTAAACGACGAATCAAATATTGATAATTGCAGTAGTACTGAAACTCTGTATAATTCTCATTTAATTAGTGATAAAGATATGTGTACTTCCGATACAATTGTAAGTAGAAACGTTTTTAAACAAAGAGATGATGTAAAAGAAAATTATTATCCAACTACACAAACATCTCTTGTTACAATGTATTAAATAATTTCAGTATAGTAAACAAATTTGACGATAAAAATGTCAATCAATGACAAGATAAAAATCGTATGGAAAACAATATTGTGATATTTGATTTTTCTTCCATCATATTAAATCAACGTATACAGTGTATTTTACGATATACATAAAAATGTAACGAGATGATAACTCTGAAGGTAAAACTTTGTTTCCTTTGGAATGTTACTATCAAAAATAATTTGAGACGATTTGCGTGTATCAAATGGTACATTCAAAAATAAGAAAGATGTACCTTTTGATATTGACTTCAAATTAAATATTATAAATGCGAATATTCATATATTAATATTTCTCTATGCCAAAATAATGATACTAATTTAACTCACTTGCATTTGAAAGCGGAATATTTCGCGAGAATATGTTCGTGTGAACGATGATATTCACTTATCAACGTCTTTAGAGCTCAGATGTAAATGGGTTAATTACATTAATAATATATTTTATGTATCTACAATATTATTTAAAAGCGGTTATATTGCTAATCATTATGGACATAGTAATGATTAAAATATAATAAAATTAGGTATTAGATCTGCCAATACTAATGACATATTCAGTATATTTAAGGAATATCTTGAAAGATGCACTGATAAAATAAGATAACGTGCGATATGTATGTGCGATATAAATTTTGTCTTTGGCCTAATATTCTTCAAAAACCCTAGATAGGCCTTCGAATAAAGGTACGTATAGAAAATAAAAAGAATAATTATAATTTGAATTAGTATTACAATCTGCACAAAACCTTTAAAAAAAAAAATTAAGATAAATTTATTTTTCTAATGTAGATCATAGACAAGAATGTCTAATCATGTGAAAAGTAATATTAGTAAAATTACGATGAAATTATGATAAAAACGTTACAATGTGAAAGAGAAACAAAATTCTATCATTATCAAAATTAGAAAATAGAAAAGGCAGGATATGAAAATTAAGTAAAATACTTATGTAAAAGTACATATTTAGAAATGATAGATACATTAATTATTATAAGATGAACAAATTACATTTTGTTCATTGTTTACTATGTTAATATTATTTTTATTTTTTTCTACGAAATTTATTTTCTCTATGAATTCGTATTTGTTCTCAGACTCAACATTTGTTCCAAACTCGTAGGCGTTGATAAAATTGATGGTAATCCTCCGTGAAGAATCCGGATTTAAAGTGAAAGATTTCTTGAATAAGTCACGTCGAATTCATGAAGAAAAAGCTGTAATCGTAAGAATTGTTCCGGCTACGTCTCGAGAATGAAATTACTTGTAATAAATAACGTTAAGTTTAGATCGCACGTAATACGTTGACAACGAACGGTGGGGAGAGACTATAAAATCAGGATTGCGAATGTTTTTTTTTTCAGTTGTGAATGTTCCCCGATGGAATCAAGTGTTCAAAATATTACGTGCGTTCTATTGATCTTTGCTATCTTAGGATGTTTCATTGTCAGAATCGAAGGGGACTTGGATCATAACGCTTTTGGTATTATGATTCATTAAATTAATTAATATTACGGTTAAATAAAATTATATTAATTATAGAAAATATAATAGTGAACAAAAAAAAAAAAAAAAGAAAAATGTTATGAAAAATTATGTTTTTTCATTATGTTTTATATCTACTCTGTTACTTAGATATATATTTATATATATTTGATAAAACAAATAATTAAATTCTAATCATTTAAATTATTGTTCAAATATTAGAAAAGATTCTGTCTTCCTCTCATTAAAATATTGCATATGTTTATTGCAAAGTATAAAGCAATGATATTTATTTAAATACTATAATAACTATTATATTATGGGAACATTAAAATAATTGGCAAACGTATTCTGAAAGAAAAATATAAAATGTTATATATTTATGTAGTTATGAAACACACGAATAAACTCTACAACTGTGGCATATATTCAGTTGTATTATTATTTACCTGTTTTTATGTTGCTTATAAAAAAAAAATAATTTTTTTCAGATCTTAAATTGAGGGCTCTTTTTAAAGTTATTAAATATGTATATGAACGACCGCAACAGATGACGATCGGTACTATTTATGCAATTACTTTAACAGAAGGTGAGAATATTTCTATTTACATATAAAAAAACCAAATTTATATCAATTGATAATAATATTTATAATTATATAAAAATTGTCAATATATACACATAAATATTTTTTGGAACAGTCTCTCTGTTAAAAACAATATTGCATAAAAATACCCGTTACCTTGGCAAAACATATTCTCACGATATGAACAAATTATTCAAATTTTCTTACAATACGCGAAAACTGTTAACAAACGTCATTATTCCAATAAATGATGAAATGAAAGTGCGTAAGTATTTTGTTACTTTGTTTATTTTTCATTAATATATCACAATATATTTTGTACGTTAATTTATACTTTATGATATATTATAATTATATAATTTTGATAATTAGTAAAAGAAGTATTAAACGATCCACAAATTTGGATGCGAGAAATATCTTGGAAAAATGAAACTTTGAGTGCTATGTTACCGCTTCCATCTCAACGATTATCATATGCGAATGGTGAAGATATAATAATGAAAGGAAGACCTAATGAATATGAAAGTGATTATTGTCTTGTTGAAATTGTTAAACAAAACTTTGATAACAAATGCTCGATACCTTACAAATGTATACAGATGATAATGAAAAAAGATAATCCAAGAGGATATCCTCTTACACATAGATTACTTATTATACAAACTTTAAGAGCAGTAAGTTTATAAATATAATTATTTAATTTTATTTGAGGAAAAGAATTTACTGTAATGTTATAAGTTTAAATAACATAATTGTAGATGGGATGTAAAGAAAATCGAATGATGCCGTATTTGAAAATGTTACCTATCTATTGTTCACGTATTCTTCGAGATATGATTGATATTGAAATAATTGGATTTCCTTATAACACACGAGATTTGTTAATGGAACAAGGTAAATGATGTTTATTTTTAACCGTATCATTTTGCAAATTAATTCTTGTGTATTATTTGAATTATAGTTGTTTTATGCGGATCAGAAGGATATTTGGAATTCATGGATAAACATTATGAGAATTTAATTTTAAGCTGGTCTCATCCTAGTGGTTGTTACAGTGCATTTGGGTATGCAAGATTATATATGTATATACATAAGACGTCCCAAAGTTAACTTTATCATGAAAAAAGAATAAAAAATAGAAAGAAAAATCAATATTGGTCTCCATATTTTTATTTTCATTTCAAAATATAAATCTTCAATATTTGCTTAGAAAGAAAATGTATAATTTTTCAATTCGATAAAGCGACTTTTGGAACACTTATTGTTAGTATATTCTTTTGAATTATAATTTATTAAGATAAATAAAATACTTTTGGATTTGTCTTATTTTGTAACAGTTACAGAGAACTTACATCGAAAAGTAACATGAATACCGATTTTGGATGTGATAGTCATGCTACGGGTCTTGGAGCTGCAAGTTTAGCATTATTTATTCGCAAAGATGTAGAAACTGTATTCCAATGAATATTAATTAAATTTTTATTTTTATGTAATATGTACATACGATATATGATTAAAAACAATAAATGATTCAATAAAAATATCATGAAAATGAATAATCATTTTTATGCGACCATTGTACTTATTTATTGTTTTTATTATAAGATATTTAAAATATTCTTTCATCGTCTATTTTTTAAAAATTGAAATTTTCACGATTATTTTTAGTTCGCGGTTAAAGAACATTGAACCAATCACGTTCTTCGTACTGATAATCGATTCATCGATTGGTTGATTATTAGCTATAAATCGATCTATCAAGTCACATGACTATTTCAACCAATAGGGATAATCGAATATTCAGTATCTCGTTTACCGCTATTAGTATCTTTGGAGAAGGTTATTGTTTTTACAGTACTCCCACGCTTTTATTCCTACTATGTATTGAAAGTACCAGTTGCCGATCGTTGTCCATTGTTGCACATTGCAGTTTTGCTGAAAAAATGTCCAATGTTAACAAATTATTTCATTTTATATTTTAAAATATGGACAGTGAACAAAAGAAAAACACCTCGCCAACCAAAATAACAAATGAAGATACTGAAAAAAAGAAACACAAGACAGATATTGGATTGTCCACAACAGAGGCTTTAAATATTTTACAAACTGATATTCTTTACGTCTTACAAGATTACGAACGCAGAAAAGAAAACGAATACAAAATAAACAAGTAATCAAATATCAAATACTATTTTTTATTTGATTAATAATATTCAGTTGCATGTTATTTAGGGTTAACTTTAGTAGTGTTTGATCAGTGTAGTTACAATTGCAACTTCAAATTATTCGAAGATAGAAGAAAAGGTTAACATAGTGTTGATCTAAAGATTTGCTATGATTTAAATATATCAAAGATTTGTGCAATTTTTCATTGAAAATTCTATTTTGAATGCTTGTTTATATTATGATGAGTTATATAATTTGACATATAACATATGTATATATGTTTAGAAAATACAAAGCTTGGCTAAAGGATGCATTACATCATCGTAGTCAATACACAACTCTTTGTTGGACATCAGCAATTGCATTGTTAATCAATGGACTCACACTTATTATTATATATTTGTTTATAGGTGAAAAATGGTACGATGTGTATTATATAAAATAACTTTTATTTTATACACTATGTATATTGCATATGTTGAAATATGTAACCGTTCTATTATAGGTACTCAACACTGCCATATGAAGGATTGGTCATTTGTTGCTTAACAATTTTAAATTTTATTCTAGTTGTATCAGATAACAAACTGCGTCATAATGAAATTCCTAGTAGAGTTTACGTTCTTCTTAAACAACTTGAAAGTATGTCGATGCATAAAATAATTTTTATATATACTGTATTATATGTAACAGTAGAATTGTCTCTTTTTACTATTATTTCATTCTTTATTATTATATTTTAGATGCACAAGCTAAATGTAAGTGGAATATTGAAAATTATCCACATTTATGCACACCTTTATCACCATGTTTAACTTTACAATGGACATATCGTGATGGCCAAATAGTTAATTTACCTTGGGCATTATTAGTTGTTGGAGATATAATTGTGATGAAACCTGGTCAACAGTCTCCTGGACATTGTATTCCATATAATGTGAGTTTTTTACGATTTAACTTTATTTCATAAAATAATGGCTTCAGCATTTAGATATAATAAGTTTTATTTTTAGGATCGTAATGGATCATCTTTATACACAAGAGAAGTTTATAGTCCACCAGTCCATAGTGTTAATGAAATATTTTCAACACCACAAGCAAGAATACCTTTGAAAAATAAATTATACGAATTGCAAGAAACTCCATATGTGACAAATCTAAAAATGGCTTTAGATCAGGCTCTTAATAGGCCTGTTACCTATCATAATCGCAAACGTTACCTTGTAATGATTTGTTATATAGAACAATTGGCCTATCCTCTTATTTTAACTTTTATTGTGGCCTTTAATTTGTTTCGTTACTTATATCTGTCAGAACGCTTTGGTATAGGAACATGGGTTGAAATGTTTTTACTGCAACCAATAGCGGTAACTCTTCCATTGTTACCAGTAATTTTTCCTATTTGTTGGATTTTTCTAAACTGTATGGGAATGGCACGTTTCAAAGCACTATGTAAACTTTATCAATCTTCAAAAAAACTTCAGGTTAGAATTTTTTTTTTTTTTTTAAATTAATTAAATTATTGTACGATTTGTTAATATTTTAAAGAAATCATTATAATCATGTAAATAATATATTTAGTTTGTAGATCCTTTTGAAGACGCAGATATTTCAACTCCGACTCATCCAGAAATAATTTATAATTGGTTTGAATTGAAGGAACATTTTATAAATATTCTTTGTGGAAAAGAGCATATGATGTCAAGATCTGCAAATATTCTTCATGTTTTGGGTTCTGTCACAGTATGTGGAATTATATATGTTTAATGTTAACACATCCATGGACACACAACGTGAACAGATAATTATGCACAGAAAAAGTCATGATATTTTGTAAAGTATAAAACATACAGGTTAGTTGGATAACCATAGTAGATTTAAATAATATATTATTATTCAATAAGTACAACTACTTTGATTATCCACGAATGTGTTAACATCATATTGTATGGTGATATTAAAACATCTTATAAAAGCTATGTATGTTAGGCATTATGTTGTGTAGATAAGAAAGGCATTCTTTCTTGGCCTAATCCTACTGCAGAAAAGGTTTTCTTCCTGCATAATAACAATTCTTTCTCAGCAGCTTCAAGGTGAATAATACTACTAAGTAATATACAGAAACAATATATAAAATTTATTATATCATTCTTTTAGCAATGACAGTTTAGGACAAACAGAACCTATGCCCAATGAAGAAAATACGAAGGAAATTTCAAATAGGGAATGTTTTAGGCAACATGGTAGTATTTTCTAATAATACAAATGTAAGTATCTTTATTATTGTTAAAAGAAAAATTGTATTTTTTTTGTAGAATTATCTCATTCTACAGCAGAAGTATTGGATCTAACGCATGATCGTGCCTTGCCATTTCGTTTACAATTTGACGATCATTCTTGGAGGAAACATTTAAATTCATTAAAACCTCTAGGCTTAGCAATTCTTTTGAATACCTGTAATATGGAAACTCAAGAACATTATACTCAATTTTGCTGTCATGTTACTTGTGAAGCTCTTTATAATGAAAATCTTGTCCCGGTTACAAACAGACGGTATATTTTAAAGTTATATTATAATTATTTAATTCGAAAATAATTCCATTAGAATCTTTCTTTTTGTATTATCAGATGTTTATGTGAATTGGCGAAGCAAATAGGATTTCGAGATCAAGCAGAAAAAATATTTCAATTAGAAAAACAATTATCTACATTCAGACATGTGGTATGTACATTTATTACAAAATAGTTTATTCAATATTTTTATTCTCCCTAACGTTTAATGAATAAATAATTGATTGATCTTAATTTATATAGCAAGCAGACAAAGTTAAAAGAGATATTAAATTTGCACGATCTCTGAGTATTGCAACCAAGTTAAAATTTCCATTTCCACATATGGTTGCTGTAATTGTTAAAGAACGTAATAGTGGTAGTCTACAATTATTAACACAAGGTACTGCAGATATAATTCTAGACTCGTGCATTGAATTTTGGGATGGTCATGATCTTTGTCCCCTTTCTGCATCTGATAGGTATATTTCTTATGATTAATCTTAATATAATAAGTTTACAATATAACAATTATATCTGTATAAACATATTAATCATATATTACAGGAAAAAGGTACAAGATTTTTATCAAAGAACAAGTTTAACATCATATTGTACTGCATTTGCTTATAGACCATTAACTAAAGGCGTTAATAATAATATGCCAGAAATATATATAGAACTTCCTGCAGACAGTAAACATTTATATACCACACATAGAAGTCCAACTCCCTTACCATGGGATTTTAGAAATGTTCTTGATCCTAGAATAAAAGGAATGCTTGGACAATTTCATTCCACAGGTAAAATTTACAATTGGATTTATTCAATGTAAGTATACAATATTCTTGGAAATATTTATATACATTTTTATTCTAGATTCATTATTGTGTAATGAAAATAATGATGATGATGTAAATGATGTTGAAAGTTGTTTCGAACTTCAATGTAATCAAATATTTATTGGAATGGTGACTATGCAGTATCAAGCTCAGACTGACATGGTAAAATGTTATGCTTATAAATAATAATATATTCATAAATTATATTTGTTTATTTTAATTGTGTACTTACCAGGTTCAGTTAATTGAACAGCTAGAAAGAGCCTGCATAAGATTTGTTCATTTCAGTAAAGAAAATGAATTACGTTCTCGTGTATTCTCGGAAAAAATGGGACTTGAGAGTGGATGGAATTGTCACATATCATTGCTCACAGAGAGGACTAGGTTAATCTTTTTAATTTATATATTTATTATTTTCAAACTTTTGGCTGTTTTTTTTTTCTTTTTCTTAAATAGGAAAGAAATCTCTTTTTTTTAAATAATTTTCAAATAATTTTAGGCATGTTGTTTTGACTATTTCCATACATATATATATATATATTTTTATATGCTTTTTTTATTAATATTATTTATTAAATAATTTTATAATGAAATTTAACAATGGTTGGTGTAATGCCATTAACAATACGCTAATTGGTTCCAGTTGAAAGTCACCTCTCAAGTGGCTTTATTAAACTAAAGTTAATTAATATATAAATTATGGGCTTTTTTCATATAAATATAAAGGATAATAACATTCAGGTATTGTCATAAAATTGACAATTTTGCATCTCAAAACATATTTAATAAATAAATATATATTCATAATAATTATGCGCATACACACACACATATCCTATAGTAGCTATGTATGTTTTTTGTTATTTTATCATTTCATATTTATTAAATGCATAACTAAGCAAACGTAACTAACGCATAAATGTCAGGTCAGAGAGTCCAGTGGGTTGTTGGGTGAGCCAGGCAGCAGCCGTGACCTCACCCACTCCCTCAACGCCTCAATGCCGTCAGCATAAATACTCTTGCATGGAACAGGCCAAGCACTTGCTTAATCATATATCTCCTCGGTATGTTACATGTTACTTTTTATCATAAATAATATACTTTCAAACATATCATAACATATTGATGTGTGATTATTATTATTATTCTTAAAATCTTTCTTTAATAATAAACAAATGAAACTATTATAATATATTGTTTGAAATGTATATATTCATGCTTTTTAATGGGTTTACAACAAGAACATTTTTATTTGTATAAAAAATAAGAAAATATAACTAAATATTACCTAATTTTTATAGCAGTAACTTGGATAGCAGTCGAGCAATGAGTGTATCTGCACCAAGTGCTATAAATACCGATATGTCCACCGTGAGGTTTGAAGATGAACCTGCTGAATGGAACTATAATAGGCCAGATCAAGCCAAAAGCACCATGAGCCATAGGTTTACATTAATTTATATAAAATTTGCCATTTTTTTTTTTTATAAATAATAAATATTTGATTATCATAATCTTTATGACTCGATTTGCTTTAAGATTTGAATTAATAATTGATTGAAAATAGGACATATTTTGTTTTTATCTCCATTTTTATTTTTTTTTTTTCATCCTTATAGAGAAAGAATTTATTTGATTTTATTTTAAAATTAGGTTCTCATTCACAACTCTTGCACTTATAAAAAGTTATCTGCATGATTTATGAGTATGTTCTTTATTGCCATTTATAAATATTTTGCAGATTAATTATCAAGTTCATTTCTAAATGACGAAGTAATTTTTCAATAATCATGATACAGGGAACATAACACTGTAAGAAGCGAAAACAGTGTGCTCATGCACAGTGTTGATTTAGGATCTGGTCAGGAGGCTTGGCAATCTTTAAGTTGCCTTACTGATAGCACAGAGCAAAGTGCTCCCGTTCATTTTGATTTATCTAATCGAGTAAGTCAAATGTTTTTTTATTAAAATGCAACATTTTATTAAAATGATATTTTGTTTTCAGGCTAAATTACCACGAGGTATTGATAAAATACGACCTCATATAGAATTGATAGACAATGTCCCTTTGTTGGTATCTTTATTCACCGATTGCACTACTGCTGTGACCCGAGAAATGTTACATATTATGCAAGATTATGGCGAAGTTGTATGCGTTCTTGGATCATCTGCCAATGCTGAAAATATGCCTATTTTTATGCAAGCCGATGCTGCGTAAGTCATATTATTAATCGATTATTACACGTTTCAAATTTGATCTTTTGTAATTTTATTTCTTTTTTTTTCTAGAGTTGCAGTAGAACCATTGTACCCACAAGTATGTCAAAAAATACCAGTGTTAGCACAAACTAGGCCTGATCAAGGACCATCTCCTGTTGACTTAAGTAGAACTTTAAATTCTGTTGCTTGTTCATTGAGTGTAAAACGTGAAGATCCAATTACTATTTTTCATCTTATCATGGAGGTGATTAGAATCTTTTTATTGTGTTTATAACTCTAATAAAATAATAATAATTAATTATTATTATTTTTACTTTTCTTTTAGGCACGTCATTATATGAAATGTTTATGGAATTGTGTACAATTTTGGTTGTGCTGTACAGTTAGTCTTTCATTTGCACAAGCAATATCTGCCATTCTGCTATTACCGCCTTTATTGTCTGTATCTCAAATTGTATGGTTAAGTTGTTTTATTATACCAATTTTATCGATCTCCATGATAGCTACTCCTATGGATTCCACTATAATGCAACGAGCAACAGGAAAGAATCAGTGCATAATAAACGGACAAGTAATGTATTTGCATTGTCCTTTTTCGTTTTAGTTTCATGTATTTTTATAATAACATGAATTGTTTTTATTTTGTAGGTTGCAATTTTTGTATTGTGGTGTTATGGTAGTAAATTCTTGCCCACTATTATAACGGTAGTTTTATCACAATACATTTCATTTTTGGTTTTATGTCCAATGTACAATACAACCGACTCTAAATGTGTTTATATATATCCTGATTTACATGGGAAAGATATTTGGGGTGGTTGGGGTTCTAAGCCAAATGTTATGTTGGCGATACAGCATTTCGCTTTAGCAATATTAGTTTTACATTATGGTATATATCACAGTTATACATTTATATAATATATATTTCTTTTTTTTTTTTTTAAATTGTATTTGAAGAATTTCTTTTTTTTTTTTAGTAACGATATCAATAGGATTTGTACATAGAGAGTATTCCATTTGGAAAAAGAGATCTACGAACAATTATTTGTGGTTTATTAGCGCATTTATAGTGTAAGTATATTATAACGATATTTTTTCAATGAAATTTTCGAATAATTATTATTTTAACAAGTATTTTTAATATATTTAGAATTTGTGCACAAGCAGCATTCTCAGGGCATGTATTCAGTCGTTTTATAAAAGAGGAGGGACCACAAATAGAAAATTTTTCTCTACATTTACCATTATCGTACTTATTTTCTTTGCCATTAGTTTTTGCAATTAATGAACTTGTTAAATGGCAAGAGATAAAGTGAGTAATTTATCTATTTATATATTGTTTATATAAGAGATATTACAATTTTAATTTGATATTGTATCCTTAGACTAAACGTTAGATATCAAAAACGGGCCCGTTTGGAATTTGGTACAAAACTTGGGATGAACTCACCGTTTTAAAGACTAATATTTTTCTAGACAGCAATCGGTACAAACACACATGTAGTTTTTAATGTTAACTATTAGCGTGTGATAGAATTTGATTGTACATACGTATTAATTTTAAATGTTATAAATTACGAATCTGTCAATTCGATAAATAATTTCGTTTTCTTTTGGAATGCGTATGTAGATCAATTATTTACTCATAATTGTAAATTTTTTTTACGCCGTAGTCAAAATGAAGAAACTAACATAAAAATGCTTTTTTTAAATAATAAGTTAGATCTTTTTAATAAGTATCAATGAAATTTGTTTTTTTTTTTGTCAGTATTTGGAACTACTGTTTTACTGTATTGCTATTAAATACTTGTATATTTAGAAGTATTATTGATGGTATTTTTGTTATATGGTGATGAAAGCATTTTAGGTATAAAAAAAATTAAAAACTATTGAACAGTATGCATCTCCCATTTGAATTGTTCATTCTCTGACTTTATTATTTGTATTTTTACTTTATAATGTAATTTGAGAGAATGTATTTGGAAAAGTCCTTTAAAAAAATTTGACATAACTTCAATTTGGACCAATCATTTAAATAAAATGGTGATATATCGTTGCAAATTTTCTATATTAATGTTGCGTACTGTTATGATAAAAATTGTCTTAAAATAAAACGTGTGATAAGAGTTGAAACGGCAACAAACGAATAAAATATTAAACACCACTAGCGCTGGAAAGACGTGCCACGCACGTCATGATGCTTTTGTCGTAGAATCGCCAACGACGTGGTATGCACGTCGTAATTTAATGGCACAGAGAAAGAAACATGACGTGAGTGGCACGCGCGGCGGTAAATTATTTGCCGGCATAAGAATACGTCTTTAAAAGTGATAGTTCAAATCATGCCAGGAAAAAATAATTATATCTATCAGTCTCATGTTTTTTGCCAATTATCAGATGTCTACGATGATGTTTAAAGCGTTAATGAAGCAATCTTTCTTGAAATATAGAAACGTAATTGATGATTGTAAATTATTTTGAGGAGAAGTTGAATACTGATCTTTTGTAAATAAATATTCATTTTTGGAAAATACGATTGTCGCTCTTAACATTTTACCGATCGCTAGAATCCCAGCAGCATATGCACTTCTGACGACCGACAGTTCAGCCGTAGATTCTACTAACAAATTTTAATAGGATGCTAAATAAGATTCTAATAACAAATTACTGTTCATGTAATGTCAACCGATAACTAAGTTTTTGGTAAGTGACAAAAAGGTGATAAATTAAATTTTTGTTCGATAACGATCGAAAAAAAAGCCTATTTATAGGCTAGTGGTCGTTAAAGTGTTAAAACTAAAACTTTTAACTGTTGTTAATCCATGACATTTTTCTAATCAGTTTCCTCTTCTTCTGTATCTCCAATTTTGATTTCTCTTTTTATTTAATTTGTTCGTCTCTCTCTCTCTCTCTCTCTCTCTCTCATCCTTCCGGTAATTTTAACAAACATCTCATTTTATCTTACAAACCATTATCCCGTATTATCGACTTACGTTCATACGGGTATAAAGAGTCACGCGAGAATTCGAGCAGCCGCATGTGGTAAAAACGTATATACATGTTTTTAAAATAATAGTATGAATAGAATAAAGAAAGAAGCGATTTATACTTGGAAATTCATGTTTCGAACATTCGACCAGCGGAGAGACTCGAGAAGTCGGTAGATATTATACATACATACATGAATACACGATTAAACGAGTGTGCCAAGAAGTTACGAGGGAATAAAGCTGTGCGTGCATCTCCGTCACCTTGCATTCGGTACGTTCGAAGTATGTGCAGGCTGTGCTGACTGCACGAATTGCACGAGTTGCACGCGATGTGCTCGCGTTTAAGGTGTGCCCAAGAAATATTCACCTAACGTATATCTAATAAGTACTCGAATATTCATCATTTTGATGATACCTCAATCAATCCTAAAATGATGATTTTGTCTATTGGAATCATATTTCCTCTCTTTTCATTTTTTATTACAATTACAATATATTCAGTTGTACGGAAAGTTCGTGCCGATTTTGACGAAAGATTGAAACGCAAGTTTTGTTGTTGTTGGTATATTTATTAAATTAAAATATATAAGTGTCACTTTGTTTCATAACTTTTTTTTTTTATCTTTATGGGTAACTTTAAAATTTCGTTCTAGCAAAACTTTTCAGGTTTTTTTTACCAAAAGAACTTTATGCCATCTACCGAAAATCGGCACGAACTTTCCGGACAATCCAATATTTTGTTGTATATTGAAATAATTGAAAATTGATTGTATAAATATACTTTTTTATTATTTAGCCGATTCGTAATTCTTTCGACGACAAGTTTGCGATTAGAGCTCACGTTGCGACAAGAATCACACAGGGTGGTTGATAACGGAGTTCAAAAAACTATGCAACAGACAAGTCTCGCGATAAGGGCCCATTACGTGTTGACTTAGAAGTCTGTTGACGTGGACTTTCCGTTTTTAGCTGTGACAATGAGTCAAGTTGAATCAGGTATCACGATGTAGTTGTTGTTTCGCTTTATAGAGCGATTGTGCAAGAATAACGAGAAAACAACCTGTTGCACGATAAACTCGTGTTGCCCGTCAATAGAATTTCAAGGAACGGCATTTTTTTTTCTCCCCCTCAACAAATCGTTGCATGAATATATTCATATTATTGTACGTTGTTTTATTATTTTCTTTCTCTTTTCGATTTAATTTTTTCAATCAAAAATCAGATACATATTTTCACTTAAACTCAATTTATTATTCATATTTTTTTTGAATCAAAAAATAAAACACGTGTAAATTCGTAAGATATAGAAAATGTATTTTCCTGTTTTATTTGTTTTTTTTCTTTCTTATTCTTTTAAATATTCTATTATGCATAATGTAAAATTACTTTAACACTAGATATATACCAGACCAGCCATTTTAACTGGTCGGGCAATTTTAATTCAAAATTTCTACTTCATGTAACATTTGAGTTTTCTGTAAATAATTAAGCGTTTTGTTATTTAAAAATGTTTATAAATTCATTTATCTATTAAAATTATTATTGTTAAACAATTTTGTTATTTTTTAAGAGTAAATAAAAACTGGAAGCAAAGCTCAAAAAGCATTTTTTTTATATACCAATCATTTTGACTAGTGTGGTAGAAATAGGTATACTGAAAATGATGGTACATCTAGTGTTAAATGTGAACATCGTAAACTCAACATTTGTTCGACATACTCGAAGTATTTCGAAATGGTATGCATGCATGCATGCATGCACATTTGATTTAGCTGATGCAACTGTTCTAAATTATATCGAGAAAGTGGCAAACGAGAAGAAAAGAATCAACTTTTTAACGTGTATTCGAATCTTGACACGAAGCGAGAAATTTTTGATGGATTTCAAGCGTATTCGAAAGTAAGAATAATAATGTTAAATAAATAACTAAATTACCTATTGATTATACTTGCGATGGTCGTAAAGATGAAATAATCCGTTTTCAAAATCTTAAGAGGGTGGGAGAAAGAGGGAGAAAAAGAGGAGAGAGAGAGAGAGAGAGAGAAAGAGAAAGAAAAAGAAATATCCTCGTCCTCGTTTCAGACACGATTCTTGGTGCGAACTATTTTCAAACGATACCAACTACCTCGTTTTCTTAGCGAATTCGTTGCAGAGAAGGACGTTTTATTTAGAAATATTACACACTTTCTCAATCGCTTGATAAACATTATTTTAACCGAATATCCATACATGTTCTTTTCACACTTTTGCAATAATAGTTTCATCGTATGCACTTTATTCATTTACAACACGATAAATGTTGCATTTTACACTTATACACACGTTCGTTCAATTTCTAACATTGCATTCACAAACATTAGAAAATAAACTTCAAATAAATAAAACGATTATCGATGATATATTGTTAATTAAGAAAATAGCTTTTCAAAATTAAGGACAATGTGATTTAAGACAATTTAATAGAAAATTGATCTACACATTATTTTATGTTTCATCGTTAGTCTTTTTTTTACGTTTCATCGTTAGTCTTTTTTTTTTATGTTTCATCTTTAGTCTTTTCTCATGTTAATTTTGGTCCGAACGAAAATTACAATGCGCGTTATAATAAATAATAAAAATGTAATATGTTAATTTAAAAACTCGATTAACCAGTTAGCTATGGCGGCCTTTTTGAAAAGTGTGTCCCTAAATTGGGTCGTTAAAATGAAACGATGACAAATATATTCGTCAAACACGAAATATATTTTACTGTTATAATATTGAATTAAGTTGCAATCAAATGATTACATTATTATTATTTGTTTTTTTATAAAATTGATAATTTTATTACTGAAATTTATTTATTTATTTAATTTAGACATTTATATATATATATAGTTTGAATTTGACAGAAAAAAAAGAGACAAAATTAATTACTTAGAAAGGTGATCAGTTAGAAATTAAATTTACAGTTACTGTATTGAATAAAATAAAATATAATATGTAATGGCACTTCGCAAATCGAACACCAATATCTTCATAATCTTCCGAATATTTATGTTTGTAACAATTTAAACATATTTTTCTAAAATTAGTTTTTAAAGATATGTTTGATATAATATAATTCAGAAAATATTTTCCGAGATTAAACTTGTAACGTTAAATTTAGTTGGCCGAGTTTGTATTACTTTGTTCACACTGTATATACAGAGTAATTTCATAATAATTACGTGCGAGTTTAAAACAGAAAAATTAATATTTTTTTGTTTTGGTGTTATTTCGTTTTGATTTTCAATTATTTGAACAATCTTTGTGCAAATTTACGAATATATTTTACTTTTACACTAAAATTACATTTTAAATAGCAAATGGTAGTATATTCTCGTCATGATGACGTAAAATATTATTAAATATTGTTATTTTTCCATGAGTAGTAGATACGTCGATCACAGCTAACCGAGTTAAAAAAAAAAAAAAAAAAAAGAAAAGAAAAAAAAATGAAAAATCATATTAAAAAAAATTTGTGAAATATAAAAAAGAAAATTATTATAATGAAATTAAAAATCACGATTAAAACTTAGCTTAGTAAAGTTTCAAACTATCTCATCACCGTACGCGAAACTATTTGTAAGAGTAATAGGAAAACGCGGCTCTTGTCTATGTCGGACGCTAGTTGCCCGCGTAGTACTCGGTGGTGGGGAGCATGGCGTGCCTTCTTAAAGCTTCGCGGTTTTTTCAAAAGCAGCCTGTGACCCCCACCCTGTGCTGCGCTTTTCGTCTTCTCCAATCCCGCTCGACAAGTCCTACGCTTCCCCCACCCTCTACCACCTTCTTTTTCTCTTTCTCTCTCTCTCTCTCTCTCTCTCTCTTTCCTTTTTCGTTCTATCTATCTTTTCCCTCTGCATTTACTAACACACGACTACATATATTCCCCTCGTTGTTGCACCGTCAAAGAAGGAAGAGCGCGTGCAACGGTACTCGGTTTGCTTCGCGAAAGAACATCGGATATATTCTTGCTCGCGTGAATTGCACATATGTAAATATATACTTTGCTATTTTCATCTCTTATCTTTCTACTAAAAAAAAGAAAATAAAAAAAAGAGTTAAATACTCTTTCTCTCTCTCTTTTCATCTTACTCTATTTTTCACTTTCAAGCTTTTTCGAGCTTTAAATTCTCGATTCTCGATTCTATTTATTAATCTAATCTAATTGTAAATAATTTCATCTATGTAAATACGATTTTACATTATGATATTGCATATTACATCAAAGTTATATCGTACGTAATATTATTTTTTCTTTTCTTTTTCTTTCTTTCTTTTTTGTTTTTGGATGAATCGAAGGTAGAACATTGACCCGTTCGACTCGAGAATTAACATATGTTGTTCAATTGCAATCTCATAAATTGCAGCTTACGTATAGTGAGGCGTTTCTCGGAACACGGATGTGATGTCCGTTGGTTTCTTCGACCAATACATACATATTCACGATATGTAAACGTAATACATATGTATATATAATACATAAATTGACACGATGAAAAAGATAACGATCGA